ATGTATATTTCATCTACAATAAATTCTCTTCAATTGACGCTCGGATTGCGCATGGACAACAAAAATAGACAATTTGGGAAGAGGAGATACTATGATATAGTTGTCGACAATCGATAATCATGGAAAACAAGCCACAAGGCTCGGACAATCGTATCTCCTCTTCCAAAATTTTCTATTTTTGGGGACAATCTGAGCGTCAATTAGAGAGACATTTCGAGCGTAATTGCGAGAAACAGGCTATCGGCGGTAGCAGAAACAAAATGTATATTTCATCTACAATAAATTCTCTTCAATTGACGCTCGGATTGCGCATGGACAACAAAAATAGACAATTTGGGAAGAGGAGATACTATGATATAGTTGTCGACAATCGATAATCATGGAAAACAAGCCACAAGGCTCGGACAATCGTATCTCCTCTTCCAAAATTTTCTATTTTTGGGGACAATCTGAGCGTCAATTAGAGAGACATTTCGAGCGTAATTGCGAGAAACAGGCTATCGGCGGTAGCAGAAACAAAATGTATATTTCATCTACAATAAATTCTCTTCAATTGACGCTCGGATTGCGCATGGACAACAAAAATGGACAAAAAAAATGGACAATTTGGGGAGAGGAGATACGATTATTCGAGCCTTGCAGCTCGTTTCTATAGTTGTTGGCAGTTCGTAACTATAAAAACGAACCGAAAGACTCGAATAATCGTATCTCATTTTCCCAAATTGTCCATCTCTGTGGACAAACTGAGCGTTAATTAGAGAGACATTACTGTAACGCAAATTGGTTTCCGAACACGTTCGTCGAGAATTGTCGAATGAAAAATTATACGATTGGCATTGAAATTCGATAGGGTCACCGATATTGTTCGGCAAAAATCTGTATTCGAAATGACTTAGCTGCAACGTGTCTGCAGGTTCGTTAACTCGTCTTTATAATCTCGGTTAATTAGAGTCTGGTGTCTCGTGGAATAACTCAGGCTGATTGCTGGTAATGTTAACCCTTTGCACTCGAAGCCATTTCAACACTGAATTCGAAATAGCTTTTTTGATTTACAATGCGGAAGTTATAGTGACTTTCATTTTGTATGACTTAAGTGACTTAAGATGAGTTAAAATTAAGACTTAAGTATATATATGTATATTATGTATAATAAGTATTGTAAATAGCTTTCTTCATTTTGTATAACTTAAGTGACTTGTATATATAAGTCTTACTACTTAAGAACTGTAAGTAAATT